AAGGTTAGGTCCGGTGCCTTCGGGTCCAAACGCCCAGATCTTTCGGGCTTCAGTCGCGTCCCACTCGTACTTATCGGACAGGAATCGAGCTCTCGCTTTGAACTCATCCTTTGGGTTCACCTTTCCGTCATCGATGTCTTCGGCCAATCCGTCGGGCAGTGGAGCCGCTCTCATATATAGACGATTGTGTTTGTTTGGAGACTTCGAGAGACATGTAATATGCGATTCTTCAGCCACAGTCTCTCTGTAAGTGACCACTGGATCAGATGTCTTGATGGGGATCTGCGCGTGATCTTCTTCCAAGTCCTTCAGACAGATCTCGAGATGCAATTCTCCGGCGCCGGCGACGATGTGTTCGCCAGACTCTTCAATAATACACTGAACCATAGGATCTGATTTCGCCAATCGTTTCAGTCCTTCGACCAGTTTTGGCAAATCCGCCGGATTTTTGGGCTCAACGGCAACGCGAACGACAGGACTCACCGAAAACTTCATTACTTTCATGTTATGCGCGTCTTTGAACGTAGAGATCGTTCCGGTCTTCACGAGGAACTGATCCACACCGACGAGACCGCAAATGTTACCGCACGGCACGTTCTCAATGGACTCAACGTTACGACCCATCATAAGCACAGTTCTGTTATAACATTACAATATTAATTGAGATACAAATGGACACAATAGGCAGACATACCGTTGAATAGCCTTCTCGACCAAATCCTGTTTGCCTCCGGGAACGTAATTGGGTCCCATTATCCGCACCTTCTGTCCCGACGACACAATACCGGAGAAGACACGACCGAACGCATAGAAGCGTCCCTTGTCTGAAGTCGGCACCATCTTTGAGATGTACATCATTAGCGGTCCCTCAGGATTACACGTCTTGACGGCTGTGCGGAGACAAAATGGGTTACAATTCAAGCACCAAAACATCTGACTGTGGAGTACTGACCAACAGCTGCCTCGTCGTCGTGCGGGCCTTCGTATAGCGTTTCCATTCTGTACTTCTGCGCAGTGATCGGTGACGGCAAGTGAATGGCTATC